GGAGCTCGCTGGCGGCGCTCAGCAGCCGCTGCTCCCAACATTCCCACCATTCCCAAACCAACATCCCCAACATTCCAGACCCAACATTCCCAACATTCCAAACCCACCATTCCCAACGTTCCCACCATCCCAAACCCAATGTTCCCAACATTCCAAACCCACAATTCCATACCCAACATCCCCAACTTTCCAAACCCAACATTCCCAACATTCAGGACCCACCATCCCACCACTCCCACTATCCCTGAATTCCTGGAATTCCCAGAATTCCCAGGATTCCCTCCATCCCCCAGTGTCCCCACTGTGACTCCGGAACTCGGCGGCGGCGCTCAGCAGCCGCCATTCCCAACATTCCCACTATTCCATTCCCACCATTCCCAACATTCCATTCCCACCATTCCCACCATTCCCACCATTCCCACCATTCCCACCACCCCAAAACCAACATTCCCAACATTGAGAACCCACCATCCCACGACTCTCAGAATTCCCAGAATTCCCGTAATTCCCTCCATCCCCTGGTGTCCCCACCGTGTCTCCGGAACTCGGCGGCGGCGCTCAGCCGCCGCCGTTCCCAACATTCCCACCATTCCATTGCCACCATTCCAAACATTCCAGACCCACCAGTCCCACACCAACATTCCCAACATTCCGGACCCAACATTCCCAACATTCCCACCATTCTCAACGTTCCCACCACCCCAAACCCAACATTCCAAACCCAACATTCCCAACATTCCAAACCCATCATTCCCAACGTTCCCACCACCCCAAACCCAATATTCCCAACATTCCAAACCCATCATTCCCAACGTTCCCACCACCCCAAACCCAACATTCCAGACCCACCATCCCCAACATTCCCACCATTCCCAACGTTTCCCAACCCAACACCCCCAACATTCCAAACCCAACGTCCCCAACATCGAGAACCCACCGCTCCCAGAACTCCCAGAACTCCCGGGATTCCCGGAATTCCCTCATCCCCACCGTGTCTGCGGAGCTGGCTGGCGGCGCTCAGCAGCCGCTGCTCCAGGCGGCCGCGGTGCCGCAGCTCCCGGAACGGCCGGGACACCGCCAATCCCTCGGGAACGGCCACGCCCAGGGAGCGGCCGCGGGCGCGGCAGCGCTCCTCCAGCTCCGACAGCAGCTGGGAAAATGGGAAGGGGGAAATTCCAGGGAATTCCGGCTGGAAAAGCCACACAAAATCTGGGGGGGGAATTCCGGTTGGAAAAGCACCGAAATATGGGAAATTCTCGGTTGGGAAAGCTCAGAAAGCTGGGAAATTCCCAGCTGGAAAAACTCCACAGTCTGGGAAATTCCTGGTTGGAAAAGGCCCAAAATTCTGGAAATTCCAGATTGGGAAAGATCCAAAATTCCAGAAAAATCCCAGGGAAAAACCCCAAAAATCTGGGGGAAATTCTAGGTTGGAAAAGCTCCAAAATTCCAGGAAATTCCTGATTTGAAAAGCCCCAAAATTTGGAAAATTCCTGGTGTGAAAAGCCCCAATATCTGGGAAAAATTCCAGGTTGGAAAAGCGCCAAAATTCCAGAGAAATCCCAGCTGGAAAAGCCCCGAAATTGGGGAAAATTCCAGGCTGGAAAACCACCAAAATTCCGGGAAATCCCAATTGGAAAAGCTCTGAAATTCGGGAAATTCCTGGTTGGAAAAGGCAAAAATTCCAGGAAATTCCTGGAAATGTTGGGAAAATTCCAGGCTGGAAAAGGCACCAAAATCTGTGAAAATCCTGTGCGGAAATCCCCAAAATTCTGGAAAAATCCCAGCTGGAAAAGCCCCAAAATCTGGGAAATTTCCACTTGGAAAAGTCGGAAAATTTGGGAAAAATCCCTGTGGGAGAAGGCTCAAAATTCTGGAAAATTCCTGGCTGGAAAAGTCCCCAAATTTGGGAAAAAATTCCAGGTCAGAAAACAACCAAAATCCAGGAAATTCCCGGTTGGAAAAGCCCCAGAATTCCGGAGAAATCCCAGTTGGAAAAGCTCCTGGAAATTCCAGGAATTCCAAGTCGGAAAATCTGGGAAATTCCCGGATTTCTCCCATGGGGTTTTCTCCTCGCCGTGTCCTTGGATTATTCCCAAAATCCCAAATCCAGGAGTTGGAGCCCCTTCCCAAAAATCCTGGAATTCTGGAGTGGATCCCAAATCCCAGGGTGGATCCCAAATCCCAGAATTCCTCAGGGTTGATCCCAAATCCTGGAGTAGATCCCAAATCCTGGGAAATTTGGGGCCGATCCCAAATCCTGAAGAGGATCCCAAATCCCTGGGGTCGATCCCAGATCCAGGGAATCCCAGGGTGGATCCCAAACCTCTGGGGTCGATTGCAAATCCTACGAATTCCGAGGTCGATCCCAAATCCCGGGGTGGATCCCAAACTCCAGAGTGGATCCCAAAACCCGTGATGGATCCAAGTCCTGGGGTGGATCCCAAATCCCAGGAAATTTGGGGCAGATCCCAAACCCCGGGCTGGATCCCAAACCCCAAGGCTGATCCCAAATCCCGGGATCCATCCCAAATACTGGTGTGGATCCCAAACCCTGGAGTGGATCCCAAATCCCTGGGTGGACCCCAAACCCTGGGGTCGAACCTGATCCCTGGGCTGATCCCAAATCCCAGGAAATCTGGGGTGGATCCCAATCCCAGGCTGGATCCCAAACCCTGGAATGGATCCTGAACCCTGGGCTGATCCCAAACCCCAGGATCCATCCCAAATACTGGTGTGGATCCCGAACCCTGGGGTGGATCCCAAATCTCAGGGTGGATCCTGAACCAGGGGGCAGATCCCGATCCCCGGGCAGATCCCAAATCCCAGGAAATCTGGGGTGGATCCAAATCCCAGGGTGGATCCCGAATCCCAGAGTGGACCCCAAATCCCAGGCTGGATCCCAAGCCCTGGAGTGGATCCCGATCCCCGGGCAGATCCCAAATCCCAGGAAATTTGGGGCAGATCCCAAACCCCAGGGTGGATCCCACGTCCCCAATGTGGATCCCAAATCCCTGGGTGGATCCCAAACCCAGGAGTGGATCCCGAATCCCTGGATCCATCCCAAATACTGCCGTGGATCCCGAACCCTGGGGTGGATCCCAAATCTCAGGGTGGATCCTGAACCAGGGGGCAGATCCCGATCCCCGGGCAGAGGGCTGGATCCCAAACCCCAAGGCTGATCCCAAATCCCGGGATCCATCCCAAATACTGGTGTGGATCCCAAACCCTGGAGTGGATCCCAAATCCCTGGGTGGACCCCAAACCCTGGGGTCGAACCTGATCCCTGGGCTGATCCCAAATCCCAGGAAATCTGGGGTGGATCCCAATCCCAGGCTGGATCCCAAACCCTGGAATGGATCCTGAACCCTGGGCTGATCCCAAACCCCAGGATCCATCCCAAATACTGGTGTGGATCCCGAACCCTGGGGTGGATCCCAAATCTCAGGGTGGATCCTGAACCAGGGGGCAGATCCCGATCCCCGGGCAGATCCCAAATCCCAGGAAATTCGGGGTGGATCCCACGTCCCCAATGAGGATCCCAAATCCCAGGATGGATCCCGAATCCAGGAGTGGATCCCGATCCCCGGGCGGATCCCGAATCCCTGGATCCATCCCAAATCCTGTAGTGGATCCCAAACCCCGGAGTGGATCCCAAACCCCGGAGCGGATCCCGATCCCCAGGCGGATCCCGGTCCCACCTGGCAATCCCAGGCTGGATCCCAAACCCTGGAATGGATCCTGAACCCTGGGCTGATCCCAAACCCCAGGATCCATCCCAAATACTGGTGTGGATCCCGAACCCTGGGGTGGATCCCAAATCTCAGGGTGGATCCTGAACCAGGGGGCAGATCCCGATCCCCGGGCAGATCCCAAATCCCAGGAAATTCGGGGTGGATCCCACGTCCCCAATGAGGATCCCAAATCCCAGGATGGATCCCGAATCCAGGAGTGGATCCCGATCCCCGGGCGGATCCCGAATCCCTGGATCCATCCCAAATCCTGTAGTGGATCCCAAACCCCGGAGTGGATCCCAAACCCCGGAGCGGATCCCGATCCCCAGGCGGATCCCGGTCCCACCTGGCTGAGGCCGATCTGGCCCCGCAGCGCTCGGGAATTCGGGCTCTGGGATCCGCCGGAATCCAGAGCGGCCTCCAGGAACCCCCTGGGAGGGAAACCCCGGAGCTCAGATCCCAAAAAATAACCCCAGGTCCCAGATCCCATAAAAAACCCCCAAACCCCAGATCCCATAAAAAACCCAGGTCCCAAATCCCATAAAAACCCCAGATCCCAAATCACATAAAAATCCCAAAGCTCAGGTCCCATAAAAGGGTGGATCCCAAATCCCAGGCCGGATCCCAAACCCCGGAGCGGATCCCGATCCCCGGGCGGATCCCGGTCCCACCTGGCTGAGGCCGATCTGGCCCCACAGCGCTCGGGAATTCGGGCTCTGGGATCCGCCGGAATCCAGAGCGGCCTCCAGGAACCCCCTGGGAGGGAAACCCTGGAGCTCAGATCCCAAAAATAACCCCAGGTCCCAAATCCCATAAAAACCCCAAAGCTCAGGTCCCATAAAAAACCCAAATCCAAAATTCCAGATCCCATTAAAAACTCAAAGCTCAGATCCCATAAAAACCCCAAATCCAAAATCCCAGATCCCATAAAAAACCCCAAATCCCAGATCCCATAAAACCCCCAAAGCTCAGATCCCAAAAATAACCCCAAATCCCAGATCCCATAAAAACCCCAAATCCCAGATCCCATAAAAATCCCAAAGCTCAGGTCCCATAAAAACCCCAGATCCCAAACCCCAATCCCATAAAAACCCCAGATCCCAAATCCCATTAAAAACCCCAAATCCCAGATCCCAACCCCCAAATCCCTGATCCAAAATCCCAAATCCCAGGCACCATAAAAATATCCCAAACCCCCCAAATCCCAAATCCCCCAAATCCCGATTCCCCAAAGCCAGGTCTGAAACCCCCGATCCCAAATCCTAATCTCAATCCCAAACCCCAAAGATCCCAAACCCAAATCCCTGATCCCAAATTGAAAACCCCAAACCCCCAAATCTCAGATCCCAAATCCCAACCCCCAAACTCGAACCCCAAATCCCAAAAACCCCAAAAACCCCACCCCCCAAATCTTAGATCTGGAACCCCAAACCCGAAATTCTGATCCCAATCCCAAACCCTAAACCCCAAATCCCAAAAATCCCAAATCCCAGAAAACCCCAAATCCCAAAAAGACCCCAAATCCCAACCCCCAAATCCTGAATGCCAGGTCCCAACCCCCAAATCCCAGACCCAAAATCCCAAATCCCAGATGTGGAACCCCAAATCCAAAATCCCAATCCCAATCCCTAATCCACAAATCCTAAAAATCCCAAATGCCAAAAAACCCCAAACCCTAAAAATCCCAATCCTCAAATCCCCAAAACCCCCAAGCCCCTGATCCTAAACCCCAAATCCCCAAACCCCAAACCCTAATCCCAATCGCAAACCCTAAACCCCAAATCCCAAAAAACTCCAAACCCCAAATCCCAAAAACTCTCAAACCCCAAAAACCCCCCAAAAACCCAAATCCCAAACCTCAAACCCCAAATCCCCAAATCCCAAACCCCAAATCCAAAATCCCAATCCCAAACCCCAAATCCCAGATCTAAAGTCCCTAATCCAAAATCCTAATCCCAATCCCAAACCCTAATTTCCAAATCCCAAAAATCCCAAATCCCAAAAACCCCAAAAACCCCCAAACCCAAAAATCCCAAAACCCCCAAATCCCAGACCCCAAAAACTCCCCAAACCCCAAACCGCAAAAACCCCAAACACCGCAAAAACCCCCAAACCCCAAAACCCTCAAACCAACCCCAAACCCCAAATCTGAAACCCCAAATCCCAAACCCCCAAAATCCCAAAAGCCCCAAACCCAAAACCCCAAAACCCCAAACCCAAAACCTCAGAAACTCCAAGAACCCCAAAAACCCAAAACCTCAAACCAACCCCAAACCCCAAATCCGAGATACCAAAACCCCAAACCTCAAACCCCCAAACCTCAAACCTCAAAACCCAAATCTCAAACCAACCCCAAACCCCAAATTCCAAACCCCCAAAATCCCAAAAACCCCAAACCCAAAACCTCAGAAACTCCAAGAACCCCAAAAACCCAAAACCTCAACCCAACCCCAAACCCCAAATTCCAAACCCCCAAAATCCCAAAAACCCCAAACCCAAAACCCCAAAACCCCAAACCCAAAACCTCAGAAACTCCAAGAACCCCAAAAACCCAAAACCTCAAACCAACCCCAAACCCCAAATCCGAGATACCAAAACCCCAAACCCCAAAACCCCAAAAAAACCCAAAAAAACCCCAAAAACCCCAAACTTCCCAAACTCAATCCCCTCGCGGGCGGCGCCGCCAACCACACAATCCTCGCGTTGATTCCGCGGGACTCGGGCGGCGCTGCCGCTCATTGAGAGGCGGGCGGGCGCTTCCAGCCGTGCCGGGCGCGGCTTTACCAAACCGAGCCCAAACCGAGCCAAACCGAGCCCAAACCGAGCCAAACCGGGCCCAACCGAGCCGGGCCTACCTGGGCAGGGCCCAGTCGCGCTCGCAGGCGCTCAGGAAGTGCTGCAGGCCCGGTTTGAGCAGAACCCCGCCAAGGTCGAAGAGCACGGCTCGCGCCATGGCCGGGACTCGAACCCGCGGCCCCGAACTTTGGCCCAGTTTAGGCCACGCCCCCTGAGGTGTAGCCACGCCCCCTCCGCATTGACTCAGTGTTCAGCGAAGCCACGCCTCCATAAAAGCCACGCCCATGGCGCTATGGGAAGCCACGCCCCTCCAACGAGACCACGCCCCTCACATTGCACAAGGTGTTTGTCGAAGCCACGCCCCCTAAATGAGGCCACGCCCCCCCTCAGCGATATAGGCCCCGCCCTCTCTTGGTTTCCCAAAGGGATTTTTGGGGACAAAATTGGGATTTTTTGGGGTCAAAACTGGGATTTTCGTGGTGAAAAAAGGGGGGTTTGGGGTCAAAAATGGGATTTTTGGGGTCCAAATTGGAAATGGGGTCAAAACTGGGATTTTTTGGGGTCGTGGAAAGAATTTTGGGGCCCAAATGGGACTTTTGGGGTCACTGAAAGATTTTGGGGGTTCCTGGGGAGATTTTTGGGGGTTTTTGGGGTTTTTTTTGGGGTCGCGAAAGGATTTTGGGGGGAGGCCCGTGTGGGATTTTTTTTTTGAGGGTTCAGACGGGATTTTTTTGGGGTCAAAAATGGGATTTTCGTGGTCAAAAATGGGATTTTTGGGGTCCAAATTGGAAATTTTGGGGATCTAAATTGGATTTTTAGGGATTTTAGGGGAGTCGCTTGGGCATTTTGGGGTAAAAAAAAATTTTTGGGGTCCCAGTGGAATTTTTGGGGGTCTTTGTGGGATTTTGGGGTCAAAATGGGATTTTTGGGGTCCAAATTGGGAATTTTTGGGGTCCCAGTGGGATTTTTGGGGTCTCAGTGGGATTTTGGGGTCACAGAAGGATTTTAGGGTTTTTTTTTTTCAAGGATTTTGGGATTAAAGTAGGACTTTTTGAGGGGGTGAAAAATGGGATTTTTGGGGTCCCAGTGGGGTTTTAGGGGAGTCCTTGTGGGATTTTGGGGTCAAAAATGGGATTTTTGGGGTCCAAATTGGGAATTTTGGGGATCTAAATGGGATTTTTGGGGATTTTAGGGAGTCCCTGGGGCATTTTGGGGTCAAAAATGGGATTTTTGGGGCTCCTTGTGGGATTTTGGAGGTTTTAGGGGGGCTCTGGGGGAATTTTTGGGATCCCAGTGGAATTTTTGGGGTCACTGAAGGACTTTAGGGGGTTCAAGGGGGATTTTTTTGGGGGTCAAACTGGGATTTTTTTGGGTTCCTTGTGGAATTTTTTGGGGCCCTTGTGGGATTTTGGGGTCAAAAATGGGATTTTTGGGTCCAAATTGGGAATTTTGGGGATCTAAATGGGATTTTTGGGGATTTTAGGGAGTCCCTGGGACATTTTGGGGTCAAAAATGGGATTTTTGGGGTCCAAATTGGGAATTTTTGGGGTCCCAGTGGAATTTTTGGGGGTCTTTGTGGGATTTTGGGGTCAAAATGGGATTTTTGGGGTCCAAATTGGGAATTTTGGGGATTTTAGGGGAGTCCTTGGGGGATTTTGGGGTAAAAAATGGGAATTTTGGGGTCCCAGTGGGATTTTTGGGGTCACTGAAGGACTTTAGGGGGTTCAAGGGGGATTTTTTGGGGGTCAAACGGATTTTTTGGGGGTCCTTGTGGAATTTTTTGGGGCCCTTTTGGGATTTTGGGGTCAAAAATGGGATTTTGGGGTCCAAATTGGGAATTTTGGGGATCTAAATGGGATTTTTGAGGATTTTAGGGAGTCCCTGGGGCATTTTGGGGTCAAAAATGGGATTTTTGGGGATTTTAGGGGAGTCCTTATGGGATTTTGGGGTCAAAAATGGGATTTTTGGGGTCCAAATTGGGAATTTTTTGGGTCCCGGTGGAATTTTTGGGGGTCTTTGTGGGATTTTGGGGTGGGATTTTTGAGGATTTTAGGGAGTCCCTGGGGCATTTTGGGGTCAAAAATGGGATTTTTGGGGATTTTAGGGGAGTCCTTATGGGATTTTGGGGTCAAAACCGGGATTTTTGGGGTCCCAGTGGGATTTTTGGGGTCACTGAAGGATTTTGGGGAGGGGGTTTCAAGGGTTTTGGGATTAAAGTGGGATTTTTTGGGGGTCAAAAATGGGATTTTTGGGGTCCCAGTGGGGTTTTGGGGTCGCAAAAGGATTTCAGGGGGGTCCTTGTGGGATTTTTTGGGGTCAAATGAGGATTTTTTGGGATCCCAGAGGGATTTTGGGTTCCAAATGAGATTTTGGGGGTTTCAGAGGAGCATTTTTGGGGTCCCAGGGGGATTTGGGGGATCCCTGTGGGATTTTGGGGAATTCCAGAGGTTTGGATCGGCCCCACCAGCCCCGACCCTTCTGGGCCTCAGTTTCCCCTTTTGGATCCCAAATCCCAAAATTCCCAAATGTCTTGAACAACTCCAACCCCAAAATCCCAAATCCCCAAAATCCCAAATTCTAAAAGTCCCAAAATCCCAAACCCCAAAAATCCCAAATCCCCAAAATCCCAAACCCAAATTATACAAAAAATTTAAAAAAACCCCAAATTCCCAAACCCCAAATATCCCAAAAATCCCAAAAATCCCAAAAATCCCAAAAATCCCAAAAATCCCAAATCCCAATCCTCAAGAATTCCAAGTCCTGAACACAAAATCCCCAAAACCCCAAACCCAAATTATCCCCCCCAAAAAAATCCCATAAATCCCCCCAAAAATCCCCCAAGTGCCCAAAATCCCAAATATCCCAAAAATCCCAAAAAACAATTGTGAAAAGCCCCAAAATCCCAAACCCTAGATCCCAAAAATCCCAAATCCCCAAAATCCCCAACCCCCAAAAATCCCCAAAACCCCAATCCCAAATTATCCCCCCTAAAAAAAAATCCCGAAAATCCCAACCCCTCCAAACCCCAAAAATCCCCAATCCCAAAAATCCCCAAAATCCCAAATCCCCAAAACCTCAGAATTCCCAGGACCACTCCCTGCCCCCTTCCCCTCCAAAAATCCCAAAAATCCCAAAAATCCCAAAAATCCCAAATCCCAATCCTCAAGAATTCCAAGTCCTGAACACAAAATCCCCAAAACCCCAAACCCAAATTATCCCCCCCAAAAAAATCCCATAAATCCCCCCAAAAACCCCCCAAGTGCCCAAAATCCCAAATCCCAAATATCCCAAAAATCCCAAAAAACAATTGTGAAAAGCCCCAAAATCCCAAACCCTAGATCCCCAAAATCCCCAATCCCCAAAATCCCCAACCCCAAAAAATCCCCAAAATCCCAAAGGACAAAAATCCCCCAAATCCCCAAAATCCCAAACCCTAGATCCCAAAAATCCCAAATCCCCAAAATCCCCAACCCCCAAAAATCCCCAAAACCCCAATCCCAAATTATCCCCCCTAAAAAAAAATCCCGAAAATCCCAACCCCTCCAAACCCCAAAAATCCCCAATCCCAAAAATCCCCAAAATCCCAAACCCTGGATCCCAAATCCCCCAAACCCCAAAAAACCCCAAAATCGCAAAGGACAAAAATCCCCCAAATCCCCAAAATCTCAAATCCCAATTCCCAAAAGCCCCAAAATCCCAAAGATCCCAAACCCAAAATCGCAAATCCCAGATCCCAAATCACAAAAATCCCAAAACCCCCCAAAAAAACCTCGAAAACCCCAAATCCCCAAAATCGCAAAAAAACCCCAAAATCCCAATCCCCCCCAAATCCCAAGAATCCCAAAAATCCCAAAAATCCCAAAAATCCCAAACCCCCAAAATGCCAAAAAAGTCAAAACTCCCAAACCCCCAAAAACCCAAAAACCCCAAATCCCCCATAATTCCCATTCCCCCCCCAAAAAAACCCCTAAAATTCCCATTTTTCTCCCCCCAAATTTCCTCATTAAATCCCAAAATAATTCCAATTTTTCCGGTAAAAAAAAATCCCCAAAAATCGCATTTTCCCCCGAAATCCCCCCAAATTCTTATTTTTCACCAAAACCCCCAAAATCCCCATCCCCCCCAAAAATCCCTAAAAATCTCATTTTTCACCCCAAAAATCCCCATTTTCTCCCCAAACCTCCCAAAATTCCCATTTACCCCCCCAGATTCCCCATTTCTCCCCAAAAAATCCCAATTTTTCCCAAACCCCCCAAATTTCCGTATTTCCCAAAAAAAATCCTCATTTCCCCCCCCAAATTCCCATTTTCCCCCCAAAACTCCCCCCCACAGCTCAGGGGGTGCACTTTGGGGTACCCACCCCCCCAAATTCCCATTTTTTCCCAAAATTCCGATATTTCCCAAAAAACTCCCCCCAAAATTCCCATTTTTCCCCCCAAAATCCCCCAAAAAATCCCATTTTTCACCCCAAAAATCCCATTTTGCACCCCAAAAATCCCATTTTCATCCCAAAATTTCCCATTCCCCCCCCAAACCTCCCAAAATTCCCATTTCCTTCCACAAAAATCCGCATTTTCCCAAAAATCCCATTTTCACCCCAAAAATCCCATTTTTCACCCCCAAAAATCCCCATTTTCCCCTTAAACCTAAAATTTCCCAAAATCCCCATTTCCTCCCCCAAAATCCCCATTTCCCCCCAAATTCCCTTTTTTCCCCAAAACTCCCAAATTTCCCATTTAGCCCCAAAAAATCCCAATTTTTCCAACCCCCCCCCCAAAATTCCCATATTTCCAAAAAAATCCCCCTAAAATCCAAATTTTCACCCCAAAAATCACATTTTTTACCCCCCCAGATTCCCCATTTCTCCCCAAAAAATCCCAATTTTTCCCAAACCCCCCAAATTTCCGTATTTCCCAAAAAAAATCCTCATTTCCCCCCCCAAATTCCCATTTTCCCCCCAAAACCCCAAAACTCCCAAATTTCCCATTTAGCCCCAAAAAATCCCAATTTTTCCAACCCCCCCCCCAAAATTCCCATATTTCCAAAAAAATCCCCCTAAAATCCAAATTTTCACCCCAAAAATCACATTTTTACCCCAAAAAATCCCCATTTTTCCCCCAAACCTCCCAAAATTCCCATTTTCACCCCAAAAATCACATTTTTACCCCAAAAAATCCCCATTTTTCCCCCAAACCTC